TAATAATATGTTTGTGTGTTACAAATAAATTATTTATATAAATAAGTATAATTGTAAATAATTATTGATATGTTTTTTTTTATAAATGCAAGATGGATGATATTATTATTATTGTATATTGGAATGGAAAAATTGTTGTTGGAAACGAAGGTGTGACATTTGAAGGTAACAAAAAAATGATAAAGATAAGAAGAGGGATAAGTTATATGAATTTAAAGAAAAAGATTCATGACAAGTTGAATCTTAGTAATAATCATGTCATATCTAGAATAATTTCTCGTTTTATGGTTGATTCAAGCGCTAAACAATACAATGCATTGGATATATGTGATGATAAAGATATTGATTGTATGATTAGTGCGTATCAACAACAAAGTATTACAAGGTTTATTGAATTATATATGAATATTGCATTTGGTGAAAGTTCAAGAGGTGGGTCGAATATGTTGGACTTAAGCTTATCAATGTCACCGCCTAACCTTATGGAAATGGTCAATATAAATGTTACAAAAGGTATAAATTATATTGTTATAATATTTTTTTAAATTTTTTTTAGTGACAACATATATTGAATAAGTGTTTGTATTTTGAAGGATGTGGAGATTTATACAATTATGAAGATAAAGATGATGAAGTCAATAGTGATGATGAGACAGATGATATTGATGAAGGACATATTCCTTTAGACAGCTCGTCAGATACGGACATTGATGGTGATTTTGATTCAAACTTAAATTTACAACAAGAAAATGTTGGAGGTAAGATTTAAAAAGTAAATTAATTAAATTATTTATTTTATTTTAATGATGAATATTGTATGTTTAAATGTAGCTGTAGGTGAAATACCTTTTTGGAATGTAAGTCCACACTACAAATCTATTAATTGGGACCACCCAGACCAAAAATTGAAGCAGAAGAAATTAGTGAAGATAATCCATGGGTTATTGGAGATTCGTTACATGTGGGTTTGTTATTTAACTCAAAAGATGAAGTTAAAAATGCCTTAAAACAACATGCAATGAGAATACATCAGAATTATTTTGTTGTTGAGTCAAAACCAACAAAGTTGCATGTGAGGTGTTTAAACCATAACAATGGTTGCCCATAGAGAATAAGAGCATCATTGCTAAAAAATTCAGTGAAGTGGAAAATAACAAGGTGTGGGGGTAAGCATACATGTTTCAACCCTACAATATCTCAAGACCATACCAAACTAGATTCAGATTTGATTTCTTCATGAATAATTGGTAAGTTTTGAATAATCTCTGATTTCGTGATGTATTTTCTCTATAAAGATACTTACCAATTTTTATTTTTGTTTTGTGTAGGTATGGTTAATCTTGAACCATCATTGCCTATAAGTCTAATTCAAGAAAGGATGACAACTCAATTTGGATATAAAATTTCATATAAAAAAGCTTAGAAGGCAAAACAAAAGGCGATTGTAAGAATATTTGGTGATTGGGATGAATCATATGCTACATTGTCAAGATGGTTAGAGTACATGCAATTTCATGCTCCAGGTTCTATTTATAAGATTGAAACGAAGCCATTTGTTGTTGGACATCAGGAGGACAACATATTTAAAGTATTTGAGCGATTGTTTTGGTGTTTTCATCAATGTAAAGAAGCATTCAACTTTTGTAAACCTATTGTTCAAGTAGATGGAACATTCTTGTATGGTAAGTATCGTCACACATTGTTAATTGCAACAACACAAGATGGGAATAATTGTGTCCTACCACTTGCATTTGCCATTGTTGAAGGGGAGACTCTATCAGCATGGGAATGGTTTTTGGCAATGATTCGTGTCCACGTAACAACCAAGACAGGAATATGTTTAATATCTGATAGGCATCAAAGCATCAAAAGTGCTGTTTCAAATCCACATATTGGATGGAAACTTCCTAATGCATACCATGTTTATTGCATTCGTCATATTGCGAGCAATTTCAACCATAGATTCAAGAACATTGAATTGAAAAAACAACTGATAAAATTAGGTAACATGATTTAATTCATCTTTGGCTTCCTGTTACTTTATATTTATTTGAATTGTGAATTCATGTAGAGCTTGTACATTGCAGCATATATACCTTCAAAGCTTGTATTTGAAGAGAAGTTGAGAAGATTCCGCACTGAATCACCAGAAATACAGAGGTGGATCGACAACATATCGAAGGAAAAGTGGGCTTTGAGTCATGACGATGATGGATGCCGTTATGGACATATGACCACAAATTTGTCAAAGGCTGTTAACAAGGTATTGAAGGGAGTAAGAAACTTACCTATAACTGCTCTTGTCAAATGCACTTACGGACGAATGGTTGAATATTTTGTGAAGCGTGGAGAGGACGCAATGAATGACTTGAACCATGGTAAGCGGTATTGTTCAAAACTAATGCTAAAAATGCAGAAAAATCAAAAGGAAGCATCTTCGCATCAAGTGAGATGATATGATATAGCAAGAACAACATTTGAGGTTAAAGAGGCCTTTAATCCTATCACGCAAAAGGGTGGTAATAAATGGACTGTTGTTCTGTGTAGAAGATACTGTGAATGTGGGAAATTTCAGGTATATCGATTTCCATGCTCACATGTGATTGCTGCCTGTGCATCAGTAAGTATTGACTTTTGGCAATATGTTGATGATGTTTACTCTGTGCAAAATGTCGTTCATACAGATTCATCACAATGGTTCCCCTTGAGAAATGATGGTAATATTCTTACACGCAATGAGTGGAAGTTAGTTCCTGATGAGACAAGAATCAGAGGTAAAGGAAGACCAAAATTATCTCGCATTAGGAATGAAATGGATTGGGTTGAGTCACAAAATAGAACCCGATGTAGTAATTGTCATCAAATTGGTCACAATGTACGTCAATGTACTTCTATATCACCTAATTAGTAGTATTGAAGAGTTTATGTATGAGACAACTAGTCATTTGTTAACTATCAGTATGTGGGTTTGTAGTTTATATCCTTGGCATTTATATACTTGTAGACTCTATCACCTTATTTCTCTTTATAAGAAACATGAATCACATAAGTAAATGTAAATCGTACGATGAATAACATAAGTAAATGTTCATGGAACGATGATTAATATGAAACAAACTACCATATGTCATAAAACATCTAATAAAGGTACACAAAATATGTATAATTAGTTTATACAAAAACTCAAGCTCTATCATCGTGCGGCTGGTCGGGCTGATGTGGGGTCAATATGCACTCCCTAGGCTGATCTCTAGCTCCACGATGTGGGTTACGATGAACCTCTGCAGGTGGAACATCTACGGTTGCTTCGAAGTCACCATTCAAATCTATTCCATGACTATAAGAGGTATCATATGCTGTCCCAATAACTGCATCTGGTGCTGGTGCTGGTGGTGTTAGAATAGGTACATCATATGGAAGCGGCGTCAAGAATGGTGATGGACATGAGATATAACACTCTGTGGTCAAGAATGGTGATTGAGGAGTCTGTGGTGGATGCTGGGTGGCCTGAGATGAGTGAAAATATGTAGGTGCACTAACAGGCTATGTGTGGAAAGGAAACTGTGAGGGAACAATACTTCATCAGAACGCTCAGGTATAGGTGGAAGAGACCAGTCTATCGCATGTACCTCTGTGCGTCTACGCTGTAATCCACTGCCTTCCTTACGGTCCCTCGATTGACAAACATCTACAACTGGATCCTCAGTACTGCCACTCTATATTGGAGGCTCAGATGAAGAAATAGATTCCATAATACGGTTCAAATCATTCTTCAAAACTAGCATAGATTGACACAGGTCTCGCATCTCATCAAAGGTGAAAGAATCATGGCCATCAGTCATCAAGTAGTGGGCTCTCTCAAGTCCATTGCCCTATAAAGCTAAAAAAATTGTATGTTAACAATGTCATTACAAATACACATAAGTAAATGTCTTAAATAGTTTACACTTACAAGTAATGATGAGACAGCTGCGTCTCTTGTCATCCAACGTCTAGTGTGAGCTCTATACCACCGCATATACTCTGAGTTGAAACTTAGCTGACCAATCTGGGGGTCATTGGTCATGACCCAATCTCTCCTTCTCTCCCAAATGTCTAATACATCCCTCAGCTTCTCTTACCAATTCTCTGTTGCCTTCACACGCAGAGTTAAGTCATGTAGTGCATCTGGCTGATATGGGGCACGAGGTATATGTTGAACCATACCAAATTGCCGCATTACTCGATCTGGTTGGTGTCACTCACACACCTGAAAACATATCAGAGGCACGACAACCCTCCACAACTCCATCCCCTCACGACATATAGCTGGTAACGAATTAATCAAATCAATAGAATATGGTTGCCAAATTATCTGCATACAAATACACATATTTAGATTTATTTTCATAATGATAACTAAATTAAAATATGACTATAACATATGGCGTGGGTGTTAATCCAGGTTTACCTCTTCACCACTAAGCATGTCAAATTTATATCTATAATAAGATATGTCTTTCCTCCCTTTCTGATTCCTTTGATTGGCTAACCACCTACAAAAAGATATAGATATTGTTTATACAAAAGGTATGTTAAACATATTAAGGACATCAATATTTAATATTACCTGGTAGCATATGGAAGATGGAGTCGTGTGTGAAGCGGGTTTCCAGGAGCTACAAATGGAAATCTATCCCATGCCCACATCACAAGTAATGCAGCTAATCCACCTAAACTATGCCGATCAATATTGGTGGCCATACACAGCTCTCTATACAAAAATCCCAATATTGCAAACCCCCAACTATATTCACTAGTGACAGCAAAATCCTGAAGTAAAGGTAAGTACCTCACTGAGACTCTACTGCTGGAATGATCACTCAACACAAAACCCCCAATCAACCGCAACATATAAGCCCTAGCAAATCGGGTGATCTGTAAAGGATTTTGTGCATGCATTGCCACATGGGTAAAATGTTGGTCTAGCCAACTCGTCTTCAAGAAGCTACCAACAAAATCTACACGTGATGGTCTAATCCCAGGCTCTCCTCAACAATATCAGCATAATTACCTCCAATAGGTGCTATCACAGGTCTTCCATCAATCCGTAAGCCTAACAACACAGATATATCCTGCAAAGTGATCGTACACTCGTCTGGAGGCAAGTGAAAATGTGTGTCTCTGGCCTCCATCTCTCTACTAATGCAGTGATCAACGGGGAGGTCTAATGGAAACTGACATACGTGAGCAATCCCAGTAAATCCCTCAAGTTCTAAATGTGGAAGGATCTCCTTTGGAACACCATCCAAACCAACTGGAATAAATTGACTCTTCCTAACCTTCAAAATAGGATGATCCCGACCATCCCAAATATGTTCAGACACATGAATATTCTATAAATGCAATAATGAAGGATCATCTGATCTAGGATGAATGACCCTATTCTGTTCTGAAGATGAAGCCATCTTCGCAAAATATAAAATATAACATTGTCAAAATTTTAAACTTTAATATAAATTATACAAAATAAATTTATAATTTAATCATAAATAATAATACATAATTATTATTATAATTATTTTTTCTATATTATTTAATATCACTCTAATAACTTCAATTACATTACTAAATTTCTTTTTTCTACCAAGATAATAATTTTTAATGATTAATAACTTAATCTCATCTTATTAGTATCACACTAAAATTTAAATTCAATATATACACTTATTATTTTATCATAAATAAACTTATATAATTCTAATTATTTATTTTAAATTATTTAATATCACTCCAATAATTTAAACCATAATTAACTATAAATAAATATATTTTCTTTTTTAATTATTTAATTAATTCAAATTTTTGCTACTATAATCTTTTTATATGAATGTATATGCTTAATTTTAATGCTCTCAATTTTGACCTTCTTACCATTTTTGTAATTATCTATTCATTAATCATAAATCAATCTTTTAATTTATATTCTTAAATGTTATTTAATCTAAAAAACATAATTTATGTTATAATTTTGTTACACTTTTTTCTATTTATTATTTCTTATATAATTAATCAACCATAGAAATATTTTATATTTTTCTATTTTCAATTTTATTTAACTATTTATTATTTGATTTTTAATTATTTTTTACAATTTTTATAATTTTTACTTCAAATTCTATTTATTCTAAATGTAAACTCTAATTTTTTTTCTTAATATTACTATCAAAATTTAATTATACAAATTCTGATTATGTTGATATTTCTACAAATTTTTAATCTAATATTACTGTAAAAAAAATTATTCAGCCTTTTACTATTATTAATAAATATAAAATTTAAAATTTTTTCAGAAATTGAAAAACCTGGATGGATGAGGAGGGGGTGAGGGACGGCGGTAGGGGCGGACAACACCTTTTCTAGCGACGGTGGGTTCTCAACGACGGCAACAACTCCACTGGACCGTAACGTCTCTCCGGCAATGACCTCCTATTCTCCGTTCTCCCAACTTTCTCCAAGTTTCAGAACAACAACACCACAAATCACTCTAAACCCAATAGATCTGGACAGTTTTGTGCAATGTATCACGAATCGCACTCAAAACTCACTCTAAAATGATAAAAAATAACCTCACCGAAGCTCTAGATCGTTGTTAATGGCGATTTGTGGGACAGAAGAGGAGAAATGAAGGAGGAGCGTTGGTGACCTCCTGCTAAAGGACATGTGACCCAATCAACGTGTTTCGTCTCTGCATCAGACGAAAAGATGCTTTCATCTGACGCAGAGACGAAACACTTTGATTGGGCCACATGTCCTCTAGCGAGAAACTTTATTTCAAAATATTTAACCCTTTTCGACTCATCCTTATACGAAACCACTGCCACGTGTTCTGCTCCCCGTATTTCGTCTATCTTTAATACGAAATGATCAAATCAAAAATAATCAAAAATCATTTCGTCTGACTTTTATACGAAACTATAGCTGACGTGGCCCAAAAACGCCCCAGACAGGGAATTATTTTCTTTTTTACATTATTTTGAAGATTATTTTTTAAAATTGTATTATTTTAATCTTTAAGCCTTTAATTGATACTCTAATAGTATAATTATAATTATTATATTATTAAAATATAAATCCTAAACTATATTATACACTATATATACATATATAAAATAGTTTTTCTCAATAATTATATTTATATTAAATTATTACAAACAAATAAATAAATATAAATTATAAAATAATATAATTATTTAATTGGGCCAGCCCAATAGGCCTAAAAGGCTTTTTTTAAAGCTTAAGCATGTCTTCTTTATTTAAATAAGCTTTTTCAAAAGTCTAAACCTGACCTTTTTAATAAACAAGTTGAGCCGGATTAGGCCTTAAATAGGTTAGGCCATAGGCCTTCAACGGGTGACCTGACCCATTCTCATCCCTACACTTGATAAGTCTATAATTAGACCTTCTTTTACAGCCTATATATTCATATTTGACCTTTATTTTATTTGAGTTTTACACTAATTTATATATTAATTATGCAGTTTGGTATAAAGAGGCCGCAAGTGGATTTTGGGTGCATTATGAGCCTAAATTGATAGAAGATTAGAGCTTCGCAGTAATCAGTACGCTCAAAACCATTCAATAAGCACGGGAGTGCTTCGAGCCCATGCACGGTTGTGCTTAAGGGCTTGCACGGTCGTGCTCATCTACGGGAAGCTCAATTATGAAGAGTTTTTAGGGTTTTCAAATCTTATAAAATGGAAGATCTCAGGCATCGTAAAGGGACCATTTTTTACATCTTGACTTTGCCTCTAGAATGCATCTGATCTCGTCTCTCTTGCACGGGATCCTTAGCACATGCTTGGCGAGACTTGGAGCTTCAAGCGATCATACTTGAAGACCAGGAACACATTTCATACTCTAGTTTGCTATTTCTTTTTATTATGACTTTGTTTATGATTGTTTTAGTTCTTTTCTTTAGTATGAATAACTAAGTCCATAGCTAGGGCTATGGGAACTATTATTCATGAATTTATGAAATTTTGATATTTGAATCTAAATTTGATTTTCGCTTTGTGATTAGATTTTATCCTATTGCGCTTATTTCTTAATCTTAATTAATTATATCGTCAGGCGACCATACCTCAGGGTAAAACGAGACAAAGATTAGGTGGACCAAACCAATCTTTCTTTTCTAATCGTTATTAAATTAACAAGTTGGTAAGCTCCTAAAGCTTTCTTAAATTAATGTCTTGCATGACCATTGGAGATGTTAATTTAGAGAAAAGAATATTAATATTGCATGACCATTGGTTATTAATAGTATTTGTATGAATGATTGGTAATCACAAGGAAATTGGATTTAGAGTTAAACATAAAAGATTGAATGAGAAAACTCATATGCCCTAGGTTCCTCTCCGATAAGTTTAACCACGACGTGCATTGTATTCCTTGCTCTTAGTTTTATAATTGGTTTTATAAATTCTTGTTTTTTAATTAATTTTGTATCTTTGAAGCTTAAACAATTGAATTAGAAAATTCTTAGTAATTGAAAATCAATCCTTGTGGGACGATAATTTGAGAACTTAATTTAAGAACCCTTTATTACTTCTCGATGGGTACACTTGCCCTCCGAATAACGCTCAAGCAAAAATCTCAACAAATGTGTTAAAAAAATTTGTCTGGCTTTTTCGCTCAAGCTAGAATGATTTCATTTTAGCAAAAATCCTCAAATAAGAGGGTATTTAAGTAACTTTGACATTTTAAACTTAGATTACAAGGCAAGTAACCATTCTCATCTCACTTTTAGTTCTCTTACTCCCTTCCATAGTTAAAACACCTTTGAACTTCAAAACCTCTCTTAAATTCAAGCTTAGACATCATTTCCTTTCAACTTCTAGAAGAACTTGGTCTTTCGGACAACATCTTCCACCCAATACTTCTACATAAATCATCTACTCAAGGTAAGGAGAATTCTATCCCATCAATAAAGTTATACCTATATGATAAGGGTGAATATTTCTATATGTGTGTGTATTGTTTACTTCTATGAGTGATTACATGCGTCTATCTTAGAAATCTAAGTTTTAAAATGAATTTTTGAATTGATGAACTAGATAATGCATGTTTTATTGATCATTAAATGAATGACATATGATTGATTAAAAATATACGATTTAGACTGAGTCCAGATGTATTCGACCTTCGACATAATTTGTTTAACTGAATGATGAGAAATAAATGGAGGAAAAATGTATTATCAGCCAATATGATGACGAAAGAAATTAGTGTAGATAGTTATAGAGATACACTGAAAGTATGGAAGATGAAGCTTATTTTGAAATCTGAAGGAAATATAGTGTGATGAATATTATTCGTGGTTGTGCAAAATGTAATAAGAGCAAAAGTATCACAAATCACACACTTATTTCCTAACTAACACTCCTAATTGTACTTTTGCTAATGGGCCCAATATTGTACACATTGTATTTGTGTGCATGGGTTAACCAATGACTATTCACCTACATGTGTAAGACCTTATGAAATTCAAGAGGCAAAATTAACTATAATCATAGTGCACGACGAAGTGCGTACGTAAAAAGAGAATGACATTTGCATTATTTGGTTTTAGTACTCGTGTTAAGATATTGTTGATATGTTTCTTATTGTGTTTGTTGCTGTAAAATTTGAAATTGATTATTTTAGTTATGTTTTAGAGATAAGGATAAAACTTATCCTTACTTACATTTTCAAGAAGGAAGAATGACTACCCCTCAGAGACCAATTAGTCTGACTGAGTGGAGTTTTGAGAGTAAGCTAAATAATGTATTTAGGAAATGACAAAGTCTGCAACTGTAAATTTGTTATAGTTAGCGAGTATGGATCCAAAGATGTGTTTTCTGTAGAGATCACAGTAAGGTACGATATTCCCTTTGGTTACCCTATTAGTGGTAGGATCCATCACACCCTCAGTTTGTATGTACATATAGAGACAGTTAGAACACAAACTACGATGAACTACGTATATACCTTCCATGACCATGACCATGACCATTTGGAAAGATCAGTCAGTTTTACTAAAGAACAGATAATTGACACAGACGTCACTGCTGATACTGGAGACCATTACGATGGAGACTTGACACAAGAAGAAATGAAATAAATAAAAGGCTGGTTTGGTGAAAACTGATTAAGACTATGGTCATATTCTAAGAATTTTTGGGGTAGGAGTGATATGCTTATTAAGACTTGATGTATTTTGATCTTATAATTATTTAAATTAAGTCATAATGTATTTTTTTTATAACTTGTAAATATTGTACTCTTGCATTTACATAATATCAAATATGTTAATTATTCATCGTTATTCAAATTTCATTTTATTTAGCAAGTTGTATTGTAATGTGAACCGTTTGATTATATTTTAAATTCCTTCTTTATTAGTAGGACTAAACTTTTTTGTTGATCA